CTCTTTTAGAATGATCTAATTTATAGACTTCTAAAAAAGCATTCTATATAACTATCAAAAGAGTTACATTACAATAAACTTTTCATTTAAGCTCAAAATGATTGCATCTGTCATTTTAAAGGCTGGTATAAAGGAAAGGTATTGTGAGAAAAAAGCACTTGGGGTTTAAGCATTATTTTTTTGCAAATTAATTCTTCATAGTTCTATAACTGGGAGCATTTCCTTTGCCTACATACCTTGTACTATATGTCCCTCTTTCCCATCTTGGAAAGTTGGGAAGTATGTTGTCAACACGTTATGCTGCATGAAAATGTTCAGTTTTTGTTTCCTGTGAAGTGCATTCCATCCTTTGTCTGCTGTGGTAAAATGTAGAACACTATTATTGAAGTGTCTATCTGCGCCCTGCAGGATTTCAAACCTACTTAAAATGTAACTGAAAGTGGTTTTACTTTTAAGTCAAGATCAGTAGATCAGTTGCAACCGTCTTCAGCAGACAAAAGCAGACACAAATTACATTACACTGAGAAAAGCTTGCAAGTTTAAAATGATACCCTGGGTTGCATCACTTTAACCACATGTATATTCTATAACATATTCATCTGAATTTGCAATTTTTTTTTCAAGACAAATGGAGCTTTATATCTCTAAAACTATTTAGAGAAAGTGATGGGAAGATCCAAAATTTTACAGCTATCAGATATGATAGGAAATCTTTCTTTGGGGACACATTTTCCAGCGGCAACCATATAAGAGGGTATTTTTCCTCACTTTAAAGTTATTTCTTGTAGTATTTCTGAAACAGAGACCAAGGGCAAACCCCCAGCAGATACACAAGCTTAAAAAAAAAACCTCACTGAAGTTTTGAAACATTTCCTTCTCTATCCCCAAAACTAAGAAAAAAGGGTTTTGCTTTAGATATGTTAGTAGTGAGCATGGCATTATGCCACCCATCAGTATACTTGTCTGAACTCATATTGCGTAAGAATACCCATGCGATCTGATTCTAGTGCTGACCAAACAAATGGACCTGCAGTTTTCTGGTGTGGTGCGGTGCGATTAGAGCCATACAAAATGTATGGATCCACTTGTACCACACACAAATCGCATGTAATTTGCACAGGAATGCGTTGCGGTTCCTGTGCGAATCACACGTGATGTACCGCACTGCATATGTGTGAACCCGGGCTTAGTGTTTAGCTTATTAGTCATATGAGACATTTTTTTTCCAATACCTATAGTTCAGTTAAAATGAACATGCGCTAAAGCACTAGCAAATGTTTTGTGGTTTATAAAGTAATAAGTCTGTTTCAAAATATTGTTCAAGTATTTAAAACCTTAACATTTTTTTTAGCTTGTTTTTACTTTAACCTTTTAACTTCTGCTGTGTTAATAGTTATGGTGGATCTGTATTGTTTTGCAGCATGCCAGGTCAGTAGACCTTATGGTGGTTTTATTTTTTTTTTAAGGTAAGTTGATAGTTGCATCAGCAACCCAAAAACTTACTGTTAATCTATGCCCAGAACTATCTCCCAATTATGAATAGATGTGATCAACATTTGGCAAGCTCAATTTTTATATATTTTTAATAAATACGTTTAAAGCAGTGTTATATATTGTTTCATTACATGAAAATATTTATTTAACCACTTTAACGCCGACCTATAGCAGAAAGACTATTACAGGGCGGCAGGGTGCGCAAAATCACGTATATATACGTGATTTTGCATTTCCGGGTAGGGGGCGTGTGCGAGCCACGTGCACGCCCTTCCTGCACCGCCATTCGTGGGCTCAGCTGTCAATCACTGGGTCCCGACTGGTGATTACTTGCCAGCACCCAATGATCACGGAATAATACCTATGGGGGGGAGAGAACTGTGTGTAAACAATACAGTTCTCTCCCATGTTGGCTCCAGCACACTGCTTTGTATAGCTCTGCTTAGCAGAGCCATACAAATCAGAATGCTTACAGTGGACAGCACAGACACAGCCCCATAATAAAACACACACAGCACACAGTTAACCCTTTGATCGTCCCAGATGTTAACCCCTTCCTGCCCAGTGTCATTAGTACAGTGTCAGTGCTTTTTATTAGAACTGATCACTATATTGGTATCACTGGGGATGTCAGTGACATCAAGTCAGTTCCCCTCAGTGTCAGAATGCCCGCTGAAGTCCTGCTATAAGTTGTTTATCGCCGCCATTACTAGTAAAAAATAAATAAATAAATTCCAGTATTTATACCTCCATTTGTAAACGCTATAACTTTCACATAAACCAATTAATTTACACGTATTGGGATTTTTTTAGCTAAGACATGTAGCAGAATACATTTTGCCCTAAATTTATGATGAAATTTGATAAAAAAATATTTTTGTTGGGCATGTTTAATAGCAAAAAGTAAAAAAATATTGTTTTTTTTTCTCAAAATTTGCGGGTTTTTTTTTTTTTATAGCGCAAAAAATAAAAAACTCACAGGCAATCAAATACCACCAAAAGAAAGCTCTATTTGTGGGAAAAAAAGAATGTAAATGTCATTTGGTTGCAGCGTTGCATGACCGTGCAATTGCCAGTTAAAATAATGCAGAGCTGTAACGCAAAAAATGGCCTAGTCAGGAAGGGGGGTAAATCCTCTGGAGGGCAAGTGGTTAACAAATAACTGATTACAGAGTGTATTTATGACACTTCTGTTTGCAAACATGATGATTTTTATAATAAGAAAGTCCAGCACTATTTTTATGACCAGCAGCATTAAAATACTACTGCATTAACATAAGCAGAGAGGGGTTCATTTAGGTGTTTGTTTAACCCAACAATACTGTAGCTATGTGAAATTTCAACTGCTGGCTGCCAGTGGTAAATATTAAATATATTCTATTCAAATTTACCTTTATTTATTTTTTTTTATTAAAAAATATTATTTTATTTTATAGTACTAATCTTTTTCTATTATTTGTATTTTGTATATTTATTTACATTTTACCATTGTTTTGGTTTGATCATTTTTTGCTGATTAAGCAACTATTGCTGTATACATAGAAGTCGATAAATAAAAAAAACAATTTATGATTGTGCTAAAGCCTCAATCCTTTCCTTGAACAGAATGAAGAAAAGCTAAATCCAGTGTTAAGGTTTTTTTGCCATCTGTGTCCTCAATAGGGAAATCTCCCCTGCTTTGAAAGGGTGACAGAGATACAGGAAATGAAGGGAAATCTGTGCAACAGGGGTGTACTGTATATAGCATGTAGTAGACTTTAGGTAGTTTTCAACTGTTAAAATACCTGGTGTCCCTGGAAGAGGTCTCTCCAACAGAGTCATGAACAACAGTGAAAACTTGACAGTTCCAATTCTTTCTAACTTTATGCAAACAAACAAAAACGTTTAGTTTAAATTGTGCTTTTATGTGATTATGACTGCCACTCTTGTACAGCTCAGCTAACAACAGGCTTAGGAGAGAAGCAGTAATATGTAAATTAACCCTCATAATAGGGTTAAAGTCCTAAAATGTCATCTTATAAAACAGAATGATAATGCAAAAAGGTTGCTTTTTTTAGCACTTTTGAAATAGGTTGATTTTTATGCAATGAGATAAGGGATTTTAATTTTAAAAAAAAAAGCATCATCCAGACAAAAAGAACTGTTGTCATTTCACAGCTTTCAATCATTACTCACAATTAAGTTGCCTACGTTTCTTTGAACTGTGCTTATGATTTTGATATACTTGGCTAGTTTGATCACAGGGCATATTTAATAAGACACTTCAAAGGAATGCATGTAATTTATCCATTGTGCAAGAAAAACACAGACAACGAAAAAAGCATAGAATTTTGTTAACTGAGGCCATATAAAGAACTAGATCATTTAAAGGATGCCTTTCTTGGGAAAAATGTAAAGGCTGGCATTAAAAACAATTGAGTACTGTCCATGATACTATTTTATTTGCAATAACATCTATATTTTCAGGACAAACCTCCAGGATGTACCCCTTCTTCAAAGTCAAAGCAGTACTAAAATACAACGTTTAAAGCCAATCATACATGGATCAAAATTCCGCTGGTCCAGCAGGCACTGGCCAAATTTCCATTGATTGACTTGCATACAACCAGCCTGCTGAATCTTTCTCAAATAATCAGTGCTGCGGGATCCCCGCTGTCAGAATACAATAACTCAGCAGACGTGATTCCCTCAATCACCTCGAATGTGTGGCTGGAAGAATGGGCTCATTTTTGTTTTCATTCAACTTGTTGGTTGGACCAAAAAAAAAAAAAAATATTAACCATGTATGGCCAGCATACACAACAATGGTAATTAAACTTGAATAGTTTGTGAGATAAGGCAGGGAGAAGGTGACTGCCTTATCTCACTAAAGCTGGCCCTAAATGATGCAATTTTCTTTTCAATCTCTCCTATTGAGCTATGTTGTTCTGCCGGTGGGGAGGCACAGGAGGGAGTGGGGGGACCCATCCCTGCTGGGGGGAATGCGGTGATCATTACTAGTGGCTATAGCTGTTGGCAATAATTATATGAAAAATGCACCAGGCTTGTTGAACCCACATCGTACAACAATTGAATTAGGTGCAATCAACCTGCCCATAGATGCTGAACTATCCAAAGATTCAAACCATCTATGGCCAGCTTAACTATCCAAACTCAATTGTTTTTGTTGCAGGTGCACTATTACAGCTACAATTACCTGAAAGCTGCCAATGCTAGCTTCCTATTCTGGAAAACTTGGTTGCCTAGTTGTCATTCTGAACCTCACAATTCAGTAGTTTGAGCCACTGATACAAAATGAGTTTGCTGATACCAATTTCCAACATTTCTCCAAAATTCCTATTATGCATACTTGTTCCAGTTCTGTGACTCACACAGTTCAGAAGCCAGTCAATATAATAGCCAGGCAAGGAGGTAAGTAATGGCAGTGCCCATATTTTATCTAGGAAGGGTTTATTTTAAGCTATGATATATTGTACACATTCTTTATTATATATGCTATAATACAGACAATCAGGGGCGGACTGACAACTCATGGGGTCCCCAGGCAATAGGGGATCATGGGGCCCCTGTGTCCTTGCCCAAACTCCAAAAAGCCTATGAAAAAGGTACCAGGGGGCATCTCATGGGGCCCCCTACTGACCCAGGGTCCTCGGGCAGTGCCCGAGTTTCCAAATGGTCAGTCCGCCTCTGCAGACAATACACCTTACATGCTTGCAAATTTTGCATTGTCCAATGCAATATAGTACTATCATGTTATACTATTGTATTGTTGATATATAATAGTGCATTGTACAATACAAGCTGTATGGTTGTAACTGTGTAAGATCATTGACACCAAAAACAATTTCAAAGGATTTCCTTGATTCCTGGAAAAAATATATTTTTAAATCATTAAAACCAATTCATGTTTATGCGCCTGTTGTACAAATTTATACACTGAAAGGCTTAAAAAAAGAAATAAATGCCATTCAGATTTGTAATTTGTTTGAATGTATCAATGCATATTTGTCCAATCTTTGGAGAATACTGCAATGCCTGGGTTTCTGAAATGTGTGATGCTTTGTAAATCAGAAAGATATACAAGAGAAAAAAAAAAAAACATGAATTGTTGACTCTGTTTATTCAATTATCAATACGCATGGTTCTCATGGAGTACTTAAATGACCATCAAAAGATTAATGGTCATCAGAGTATTAGGTCTGCTTTATTCAGACATCAAGGGTAACATGGATTTATGATATCTATCAATGGCAGTGAAAGGGTAATCCAGTATGGATACCACTGCTTATATCTGTATTTTTAATAATTACGAAACATCAGACATGAAAAACAAAAAAAAATAATAACACATCTATCTAATATCCAACTGCAAGAATGAAAAATTATCTACATTTTATAATTATTTTTGCATCATTATTTTGATAAACAGGCTGAGTAATCCAGACTGCATAATGTTTAGATAGTGATAGAAAGTGTATATAAACTCAGTGTATTGCTTCCATAATATTCTAAACAAGTGAAGTAATTATTAAACTTTTTTAGACCAAAGGCTATTATTTACTCTTCAGTGTTGTAAATTATGCAAAAAATGAATGTGTAAATGTTAAGGTCATGGAATCTCAGACTAATCTGTTTTTCAAATCTGTATCAGCAGAAGATATTTATTTAATATGCATATTTGCTACCATGTGTATAGTGTTTAAAATATATGTATTCTGTTGTTATCCCCCTAAGTAAGAATAGGCATACACATAGACTACCCTGAATAATATACAAAGAGCTCCTACTTGGAAAGTTATGGCTAGAAGTACATTGTGGCCATGTGTAATATCTTTCTTTTCAGCTTGGTGGTCATTTTACATTAGTATACACTAAGAAGTGGTGAAATAAATTAGCATCTTCTGTGGTTGTGTGCCACTTTGAGTCTGTACTTTACAGATTTATGGAGAATATATTTCATAGACTTCATAGACTCTGAACCTTAAGCCAATACTTACAACTGGGATATGGAGGCTGCCCGTCATAACAAACGATTCTCCAGTTGTCGTAATACATACAGTTTAACAGTGCTGCTCTCATATTTCAAAAAACACAACTCCTATCCGCGTGCTTAAAAGTTCAATAAAGTGAAATAAGTGCAGTCAAAAAAGTGAAACCCTGCAAATTACTTTTGGTTGGTGCAGGGATTGTGCTGTGCATCTCTCACTCATAGGCTGGTATGGACTCTTATTGCTAAGAGGCAATATCGCATGGATAACAAACTTTTCTAAATATGGATTCTCCTTTCTGCCATTTCTCAAGTACTCCACCGAATTCCCAGGTGTTGGTATATAAAAGGATCAAAAAGCATACATAGCTTTATTCCGTATTATTTTTATTAAAAAATTTAAATCAAATTCTACTCAAAAAGTAAAGAAATAGTAAAGCCTGTATACCAAGCTAGGAACACCACCTCATATCCTTCTTTAATAATGTAATTTCCACTTCCTCCCACGGCCATATTGGTGCACCATTCAGTGTACTCTCATGTATTCTATTGCGATAGCCATCTTGGTACACCCAATGTGCACCAACAAAGACCTAAACTTCAACATTTGAAAATAAAACCTACCCTTTCACCAAATGCATGCAACACGATGTTAGCCTACTATATATACTTTTGTTACTAAAGATATATTAAAATATTACCAAAATCATATTAAAATGTGTGCCATCCATATGGGAACCACGATTGGCAATTGTCTCATCTAAGGCTTCCCCCACATGGATGCCACATACCTCCCCTTTGTTAATTGCATATTTATAATTCACATAATTTACAATCTTATACATGTAGAACATTGGATACATATTATGTGTTTATATATTCTTTCACTACATGTAGTAATTAAACATTAAAATGATAACAAAATAATTATTAATAGTTTAACTTACTCTTATGTATATAATTTTTAGAGGAAATCTATGTCTTGTAAACCCAGTTCACTTCAATACTAATCACCTATTTCTATTAGTCCCGATTTTAAAAAATTAGTTAAGAAGCAATTGATATCTATTTCTACATTTAAACTTCTTTCTGCCATTGCATCTAAATAATAAATCCACTCCAGTGTTTTTCAATTCTATCTATACTACAAAATCTCAATTGTGTGGAATCCTTATTATGAAACCGATGAAAACTATCTGAAAGACTATGATAACAAAAGCCCTTCTTTGTATTACTGATGTGTTCCCTTAATCTAATTCTCAGTTCCCTAGTCGTTCTTCCTGCATATTGTAATCCACATGTACATTCAAGCAAATACGTAATGTGTGTGCTACTACACGTGATGAACTTTCTAATATTATAAGTATTGTCTGTGGTTTTAGACTGGAATTGTGTACTTTTGTAAATTAATTTACAAGACATAGATTTCCCCTAAAAAATATATACATAAGAGTAAGATAAACTATTAATCATTATTTTATTATCATTTTAATGTTTAATTTTCTACATGTAGTGAAAGGATATATCAACACATATTATGTATGTAAAGTTCTACATGTACAAGATTGTAAATTATGTGAATTATAGATATGCAATTAACAAAGGGAAGGTAAGTGGCATCCAGGTGGGGGAAGCCTTAGATGAGACGATCATCAGTTGTGGTTCCCATATGGATGGCACACATTTTAATATGATTTTAGTAATATCTTAATATATCTTTAGTAACAATACTGATGACTGAACTGGATGGACTTTTGTCTTTTTTCAGCTAGACTAACTATGCAACTATGTAGTATACTGTATATAGTAAGCTAACATTGTGTTGTATGAATTTGGTTAAAGGGTAGGTTTTATATTCAAATGTTGAAGTTTAGGTCCTTGTTGGTGCACATTGAACATACCAAGATGGTGATCGCAATAGTATACATGAGAATACATTGAATGGTGCACCAATATGGGCATGGGAGAAAGAGGAAATTATGTTATTAAAGAGGGATATGAAGTAACAATTTGGGTTAAACGTTGGCGGCAAGTGACAAAAAAGCAGCACCTATCACCAACAGCCCCAGCTTCTGAAGACGCCCTGTTAGCCTAACACATTAGGCAGGAACTTCCAGTGACGTCGCGTCCAGCCGTTAGAGCACACGCTATGGCAGTGTTCCCAGGCTTGGTATACAGGCTTTACTATTGCTTTACTTTGTGAGTGGAATTTGATTTTACATTTTAGTAAAATAATACGGAATTACGCTATGTATGCTTTATGATCTTTTTATATACCAACACTCGGGCATTCGGTGGAGTACTGGAGAAATGGAAGAAAGGAGAATCGCCATTTAGAAAAGTTCTTTATCCAAGTGATATTGACTCTTGCAATAAGAGTCCACACCAGTCGAAGAGTGGGGATACAAAGGATGGGAGAACAGCACAATCCCTGCACCAACCAATAGTCATTTGCAGGGTTGCGCTTTTGTTATTGGACTGCACTTTATCTATATATGGACTGCACTTATTGCACTTTATTGAACTTTTAGGTATGTGGATAGGAGTTGTGTTTTATGTAATATGAGAGCAGCGCTGTTAAACTGTATGTGTTATGGTATTTGAAGCGTTCGCCCTTTTCAGACAGCAGCAGTTCTAAATCACTTATATTGTTGAAGACAAACACAGGTTGATTTATTGTATGTACATCAGTCATAGTATTTTTCACGTAGCGTGGGAATAGCACTGTTAATTTGATTCTCCAGTTGTAACAACCTAATAGCTTTTATACAGATGTGAGTGCAGATGAAATACCAAAATCACATACTGTCACATAACTCTACAGAAACATTTTTATATAAATTTAGTTTTATAAAAGACTATTTCCCTTGAAATTTAAGTTGCAAGTGGATATTGCTTGAATACACCCTAGGTCCTTACAACTCTCAAGGATTCCAGCAACAGGATATCCCTACTTAATCCTCCCTACCATCTTCTTTGTGGAAAGAAAGAATGAAACTTCCAGTACTGTGCACTTAAGAACAACAACAGTAAAAAATAAAAAATAATATATATATATATATAAATATACTAACATTATCTGAAGAATCCCTAGGCCTGTGGTTGGTTCTCTGACTGAAATGTGATACTGAGACATGGAAGGGGTCTTCCAGGCTAGTAAACTGTTTCACAAATACGTTTTATTGGTGTTCAGAAAAAGGCAAAGAGGAATTGAAAATGAAAGTATCTGTGAGGCTGTGAAACAAATTGTTTAAGTGTTAAAGTTTTCTCTGGAATCTGCAACAGTATCTCTTTGGAGATAGTTGTTATCTGATAGACAAGTAACTACTTAGTCAAAAATTAATGTGGTTGCTCCCCTGTAGAGATTGTCTGCTGGGAAGAAAACTGTCCCATCAAGGGATTCCAGACCTTGTCAAAAGTCTGCGCCACACCGCACTACATTAAGCTACATTAAGCTACACATGTCATTTTTTTAAAGAACAGGCCATTTTTCCCTTACAGCCAAAGTTTCAATAAAACAAAAAAATAAAGGGACTTTACTCATCTTCAGTAAGATGTGTCCCCTGTGCTGCTGTGTCCTCATTTAGCAGAAATCTTCCTCCCCTGATGCCCCCCTTCCCTCTTCACCATAATTTTCTGGCACAAGGGGAGCTTAATAGAACTAAGGGAGCTGCTACAGGCACTCATAATATTACCCAACTATACCTCCCCCTTCTGCCCAGCTCCTCCATTCATAGAAGCTCA